TCTCTTTGCTGACGACACGACTTATGTCATCTCTCACCCTAATCTTGCCACCCTCAACACCATTGTTAACGAGGAGCTGATCAAAATATCGACTTGGATGACAGCCAATAAACTTACGCTTAACACTGACAAAACCTACTATATTATGTTTGGTAGCAGAGCAGGAGATGCACAAATTAACATTAAGATCAACAACACCCTAATTACCAGACATAATGAGGGCAAATTCCTAGGCCTATACCTTGACAACAACCTGAATTTCAGCACCCATATCCAACACATAACCAAAAAAGTATCCAAAACGGTTGGGATCCTCTCCAAGATATGATACTACGTGCCGCAAACTGCCCTTATCACACTATACCATTCACTTATATATCCATACCTCACCTATGCTATTTGTGCTTGGGGATCAACTGCAGCAACACACCTAAAGCCAATAATAACCCAACAAAAAGCTGCAGTAAGAATAATCACTAAATCCCATCCCTGGCAACACCACCCCCCCCACTCTTCATAGATCTAAACTTACTCCCTGTTCAGTACATCCACACTTACTACTGTGCAGTCTACATCTACAGGACCTTAAACTCCAATATCAACCTTGACCTAAAACGCTTTCTTGATAGTTGTGACAGAAACCACAGGCATAACACCAGACACAAACATCTCTACGACATTCCCCATGTCCGACTAAACCTTTACAAAAATTCAATGTATGTCAAAGGCCCTAAAATCTGGAACACCCTACCTGAGAACTCTAGAACTGCATACATTCATCACCTTCAAAACTACCATTAGAAAACATCTTATCTCCCTGATACACCCCATCAACTAACTACACGAATACCACCTGGTGGTTCACACTTACACTCACTCACCCATTTGACCATAAACAAAAATATTAATCTCAATCTTAAAATAATGAATCCTATGATATTCCAATACTGAAACTATGTACTGTGCCAAAACAAAAGCATTCACATTGCTAAACTCACAAACTAGTATTTAGTCACTTAGCCATAATACCAACTTACCTCATAATTTGTAATATTTTAAAATAAAAAATTAAACTAAGTCTGCCCGAAATGCCTAGCCATGCTAGGCGTTCTAGTGGTACACTCTGTAATCATTATTTAACTACATGTAAACCACACAACAACCAAATTCTGTAAATTCAACATTGTAATCTTTATAGAGAATAAACTTTGAATTTGAATTGAATTTGAATTTGAATAGGAAAATAGCAACAAGTAAAAGGGAGGTGAAAGTGTATAAACTAAGGGAGGAGGAAGTTCGGGGGAGATATAAGCGACTGTTGGCAGAAAGGTGGGCTAGTGCAAAGATGAGTAGTGGGGGGGTTGAAGAGGGTTGGAATAGTTTTAAAAATGCAGTATTAGAATGTGGGGCAGAAGTTTGTGGTAATAGGAGGGTGGGAGCAGGTGGAAAGAGGAGTGATTGGTGGAATGATGAAGTAAAGGGTGTGATAAAAGAGAAAAAGTTAGCTTATGAGAGGTTTTTACAAAGCAGAAGTGTTATAAGAAGAGCAGAGTATATGGAGAGTAAAAGAAAGGTGAAGAGAGTGGTGAGAGAATGCAAAAGGAGAGCAGATGATAGAGTGGGAGAGGCACTGTCAAGAAATTTTAATGAAAATAAGAAAAAATTTTGGAGTGAGTTAAACAAGTTAAGAAAACCTAGGGAAAGTATGGATTTGTCAGTTAAAAACAGAGTAGGGGAGTTAGTAGATGGGGAGAGGGAGGTATTAGGTAGATGGCGAGAATATCTTGAGGAACTTTTAAATGTTGAGGAAGAAAGGGAGGTGGTAATTTCATGCACTGGTCAGGGAGATATACCATCTTTTAGGAGTGAAGAAGAGCAGAATGTAAGTGTGGGGGAGGTACGCGAGGCATTACGTAGAATGAAAGGGGGTAAAGCAGCTGGAACTGATGGGATTATGACAGAAATGTTAAAAGTAGGGGGGGATATAGTGTTGGAGTGGTTGGTACTTTTGGTTAATAAATAATGAAAGAGGGGAAGGTACCTAGGGATTGGTGGAGAGCATGTATAGTCCCTTTATATAAAGGGAAAGGGAACAAAACAGATTGTAAAAATTATAGAGGAATAAGTTTATTGAGTATACCAGGAAAAGTGTATGGTAGGGTTATAATTGAAAGAATTAGAGGTAAGACAGAATGTAGGATTGCGGATGAGCAAGGAGGTTTCAGAGTGGGTAGGGGATGTGTAGATCATCATGCATATATGTGAACAGTATTTAGATAAAGGTAGGGAAGTTTTTATTGCATTTATGGATTTAGAAAAGGCATATGATAGAGTGGATAGGGGAGCAATGTGGCAGATGTTGCAAGCATATGGAAAAGGTGGTAAGTTACTAAATGCTGTAAAGAGTTTTTATGAGGATAGTGAGGCTCAGGTTAGGGTGTGTAGAAGAGAGGGAGACTACTTCCCGGTAAAAGTAGGTCTTAGACAGGGATGTGTAATGTCACCATGGTTGTTTAATATATTTATAGATGGGGTTGTAAAAGAAGTAAATGCTAGGGTGTTCGGGAGAGGGGTGGGATTAAATTATGGGGAATCAAATTCAAAATGGGAATTAACACAGTTACTTTTTGCTGATGATACTGTGCTTATGGGAGATTCTAAAGAAAAATTGAAAAGGTTAGTGGATGAGTTTAGGAATGTGTGTAAAGGTAGAAAGTTGAAAGGAACAAAGAAAAAGAGTAAGGTGATGAGGGTAGCAAATGATTTAGATAAAGAAAAATTGGATATCAAATTGGGGAGGAGGAGTATGGAAGAAGTGAATGTTTTCAGATACTTGGGAGTTGACGTGTCGGCGGATGGATTTATGAAGGATGAGGTTAATCATAGAATTGATGAGGGAAGAAAGGTGAGTGGTGCACTGAGATATATGTGGAGTCAAAAAACGTTATCTATGGAGGCAAAGAAGGGAATGTATGAAAGTATAGTAGTACCAACACTCTTATATGGGTGTGAAGCTTGGGTGGTAAATGCAGCAGCGAGGAGACGGTTGGAGGCAGTGGAGATGTCCTGTCTAAGGGCAATGTGTGGTGTAAATATTATGCAGAAATTCGGAGTGTGTGGAAATTAGGAAAGGTGTGGATTTAAATTTAAAGTATTAGTCAGGGGGGCAGAAGAGGGGTTGTTGAGGTGGTTTGGTCATTTAGAGAGAATGGATCAAAGTAGAATGACATGGAAAGCATATAAATCTATAGGGGAAGGAAGGCGAGGTAGGGGTCATCCTCGAAAGGGTTGGAGAGAGGGGGTAAAGGAGGTTTTGTGGGCAAGGGGCTTGGACTTCCAGCAAGCGTGCGTGAGCGTGTTAGATAGGAGTGAATGGAGACGAATGGCACTTGGGACCTGACGATCTGTTGGAGTGTGAGCAGGGTAATATTTGGTGAAGGGATTCAGGGAAACCAGTTACAGTGGATCCCCGGTTAACGATATTTTTTCACTCCAGACGTATGTTCAGGTGCCAGTACTGACCGAATTTGTTCCCATAAGAAATATTGTGAAGTAGATTAGTCCATTTCAGACCCCCAAACATACACGTACAAACGCACTTACTTAAATACACTTACATAATTGGTCGCATTCGGAGGTAATCGTTATGCGGGGGTCCACTGTATTTTCATATAGTTGGACTTGAGTCCTGGAAATGGGAAGTACAATGCCTGCACTTTAAAGGAGGGGTTTGGGATATTGGCAGTTTGGAGGGATATGTTGTGTATCTTTATACGTATATGCTTCTAAACTGTTGTATTCTGAGCACCTCTGCAAAAACAGTGATTATGTGTGAGTGTGGTGAAAGTGTTGAATGATGATGAAAGCATTTTCTTTTTGGGGATTTTCTTACTTTTTGGGTCACCCTGCCTCAGTGGGAGACGGCCGACTTGTTGAAAAAAAAAAAAATTACTTTTACCTAGGTAGTAGGTTGGTAGACAGCAACCACCCAGGGAGGTACTACCGTCCTGCCAAGTGAGTGTAAAACGAAAGCCTGTAATTGTTTTACATGATGGGAGGATTGCTGGTGTCCTTTTTTCCGTCTCATGAACATGCAAGATTTCAGGTACGTCTTGCTACTTCTACTTACACTTAGGTCACACTACACATACATGTACAAGCATATATATACACACACCCCTCTGGGTTTTCTTCTATTTCCTTTCTAGTTCTTATTCTTCTTTATTTCCTCTTATCTCCATGGAGAAGTGGAACAGAATTCTTCCTCCGTAAGCCATGCGTGTTGTAAGAGGCAACTAAAATGCCGGGAGCAAGGGGCTAGTAACCTCTTCTTGTGTATATATTACTAAATGTAAAAGGAGAAACTTTCGTTTTTTCTTTTGGGCCACCCCGCCTCGGTGGGATATGGCCGGTGTGTTGAAAGAAAGAAAGAACATTACTTTTACTAAAATTATTAAGATTGTCTAAATTTCTTTTTTGTTGCTCATAGTCTGTCTGTCTCCCTATCATTTTTTTTTATCCCAATGGCAGTCTGCCACCAAAACAGTGACCCAAGTAAAAAGAAACACCTTTATCATCATTCATTCACGAGATGGCTTGCCAGAAGTGTGCAAACACAACAGCGCAATATTTCTGCTTGATGCTCAAGCCTCTACTACACACAGAATAATTTCTGATGATAATAAAACCAGTTCCTTTACTCACTGCCCCCAATCTCTATGTCCAAACTTTGCTAACATTCCTTAATTTATCCCCAACCTTCACCCTAATTCCTACTTTTTTCTCTTTGGGAAGTCCCCCCTCCTTCCAACCCTTCTTAGGACAACAACATCTACCTCTCCTTTCCTCCACTATGGATTTAAACACCGGCTCTTTCATCTAATTCTGATCTATCTTTTATTAAAGGCTAAACTGCCTCAACAAGCTTTCTTCTGTCTCTGAATAATACTTGTTGTAACTCCACATATACAAGAATACTTGAAAGTTAACATGTGAAACACCTTGTTGAGAAGCAGTGACAGGCTGAAGTTTCTTTTCACGATATTCTGCCCCAAGAACTGCAGTAACTTTGCTGTGCTGCACTGCAGTCACAGTTATAGAAGTGCGGCCCTCTGCAGTATCTTGCGTTATGCTAAAATTAAGGAAAAGAAAATGACTTCAAAATACAGTACATGACAATTTCAAATGTAGACTTAAATTTTAGTAAGCCATATCCTACAACTGCACCAATATACAGTACAGCATGTATTTTTATTTTGAAAGAACATTTCTTTTTAGGGTCACCCTGCCTCAATGGGAGATGGCTGTTGTGATAAAAAAAATAAAAAATGTTGGTTAAGATAAATCTTTCTTTTTAACTCGACAGCCACCTCCAGCTAAGGAAGGGTGACCTAAAGCACAAGTTATTATTATTATTATTATTATTATTATTATTATTATTATTATTATTTCAAGGTAGTAGGTTGGTAGACAGCAACCGCCCAGGGAGGTACTACCGTCCTGCCAAGTGAGTGTAAAACGAAAGCCTGTAATTGTTTTACATGATGGTAGGATTGCTGGTGTCCTTTTTTCTGTCTCGTGAACATGCAAGAATTCAGGTAGTTTGCTACTTCTACTTACACTTAGGTCACACTAACATACATGTACAAGCACATATATACACACCCCTCTGGGTTTTCTTCTATTTTCTTTCTAGTTCTTATTCTTGTTTATTTCCTCTTATCTCCATGGGGAAGTGGAACAGAATTCTTCCTCCGTAAGCCATGCGTGTTGTAAGAGGCAACTAAAATGCCGGGAGCAAGGGGCTAGTAACCTCTTCTCCTGTATATATTACTAAATGTAAAAGGAGAACTTTCGTTTTTCCTTTTGGGCCACCCCGCCTCGGTGGGATACGGCCGGTGTGTTGAAAGAAAGAAAGATTATTATTATTATTATTATTATTATTATTAATGTAATTATCATTCTAATTATTATAATAGTATTATTATAGTACAGTACAGCGGTATCTCGGGATACAAACTTAATTCGTTCCAGAACACTGTTTGAGTGCCGATACCGAACGAATTTGTTGTGATAAGGAATAATGTACAGTAAATTAGATTAATCCTTTTCAGATCCCTAAACGTACACTTACAAAAGCACTTACATAAATACACTTACATAACTGTTCAAGTTTTCGGCAGTTCGTATCCCGAGGTACCACGTATTTCTATGCTATAGTATTACTATATAGTATAATATTACTTTAGACATGTAATAATAATATATGTACTGCTTTTGATGTCATTACAATTATTTGCTTTTACCAACATTACCAAAATTCAACTAATTTTTTTTCACTTTTATATATGTGTTTATTTGTTTAGAAATTTGAGCATACAAACAGAGGTACAAAAAATACAGGTAAGAGCAGCATGCCAAAGCCACTTATATGCATAGCATTACGGGCTGGCTTAAAATTAACTTAAGATTAACTAAGCAATGATGAAATCAGTGATAAGACATTATTGTAAACAGATAACTATAAAATACAAATGAGTATTACAAAGACAGGTCCTATGGTTGCATGCATTGCTGTTCATTCAGTAGAATGGAGTATTCTGTTAGGTAGTGTATTTAAAAAAATAACAAAGTTAGGTTTAACATTTGTGTGATATAATTGTGAGTAACATTTAGGATATACAATTTATATGGTTCAGTTGTTCAGTATTTATTTGGTTTTGAGTGAGTAAGTGAATTTTGAGAAGAGACTTGAATTTATAAACAGGTAGTGTTTCTTTTATATTTACAGGTAATGAATTCCAGATTTTAGGGCCTTTTATGTGCTTTGAGTTTTTGAATAGCGTGAGATGGACACGAGGAACATCAAAGAGTGATCTGTGCCTTGTATTATGGTCATGTGTTCTGTTGAGGTTGGCAAGGAGATGTTTGAGGGGAGGGTTAATATCAGAGTTAAGTGTTCTATGTATGTAATAAGTGCAATAATAAGTATGGATGTTTGTATGGTGAGTAGGTTGAGTGTTTTGAATATTGGTGGAGTGTGCTGCCTGTAGTGAGAATTTGTTATCATTCTAACTGCAGCCTTTGTTGGGTAATTAGTGGTCTGAGATGGTTAGTTGTTGTTGAGCCCCATGCACAAATTCCATAGGTGAGATAGGGGTAAATAAGAGAGTGATAAAGGGCCAGGAGGGCTGACTGTGGAACATAGTACCGTATCTTCTATAGTATGCCTACAGTCTTGGAAATTTTCTTAGAAATTTGTTGTATATGTGTATGAAATTTGAGTCTATTATCGAGGTGGATTCCTAAGAATTTTCCCTCTGTTAGCTTAGTGATAGGTGATCCGTTTATCGTTATGTTAAGAGGTACATCTGTAGCTCTGCTACCAAACTGAATGAAGTAGGTTTTGTCAATGTTTAGTGTAAGTTTGTTAGTCCTCATCAAGGTAGATATTTTCTGTAATTCGGTGTTTACAGTATTTGCTAGCGTGACTGGGCTCGGGTGAGAGAAGACGTATGTGGTGTCATCTGCAAAAAGTGTGGGTTTGAGTAATTGCGAAGCATTTGGTAGGTCATTTATGTATAGGAGAAAGAGAAGAGGGCCAAGGACACTTCCCTGTGGGACACCAACTGTAATTGGTTGTGCAGAAGAGCTTGCCCCATTTGCGTACACATATTGGCTTCTGTTGCTGAGGTAAGACTTGAGGTAGTTGAGAGAGTGCCCTCTAATACCATAGTGTGACAATTTTACGTGGAGCAAGTCATGGTCAACTGTATCAGAAGCTTTACGTAAGTCAATGAAGATCCCCAGTGGGACTTCTTTTTTCTCTATTGCAGTGTATATATGTTCTAGCATGTGTATAATAGCATCATTAGTATTTTTATTAGGCCTGAATCCAAATTGGCAGGGGTTGAGAATGTTATGGGAGATGAGGTAGGAGTGGATTCGTTTATGAATTAATTTTTCGAAGATTTTTGAGAGAGGGTGTAAATTGGATATTGGCCTATAGTTATTCAACTCTGTTTGGTCTCCTCCTTTATGGATCGGGGTGACCCTTGCTATTTGAGAACTGTAGGGAAGGTGGAGGATTCAATGGATTTGTTAAAGAGTGTTGCAATGATTGGTGATAGTACTTGTGACGCTTTTTTGTATATAAAGGGTGGTAAGGTATTTAAATCTCCTGCCTTGTTTTTCAGTGCGTGATAATAAGGGAGACTTCGTATGGGTTAGTCGGAGCTAGGAACAGTGTGTTCGGGTAGTTGCCAGTGAGGTAGTCATTTGGTGGGGTATCTGAGCTTGGGATATTATTGGCAAGGTTTTGACCTATAGTGGAGAAGAAATCATTGAGTCTGTTTGCTGTTTCTGTTGGGGGGAGTTGGGGTTCATCTGATTTTGCTAATTTTATTTCGCTATGTCGTGATATCTTTTTTGTTCCCAGAATTTCTGATAGGTCTTCCAGGTCTTTTTTATATCACCTCGTAAGTTGGATAATCTGTTCTCATAATACAATTTTTTTGCCCTTCTTATCAGGCTGGTTAGGATTGACGAGTAACGTTTTGTTTGGTCTCTGGTTATGTGACCCATTCTGTACTGTTTTTCATATCGGTGTTTTGTATTTATGGATTTGAGAATGCTGGGTGTTAGCCAGGGACTGTTCAGTCTCTTAGCTGTCATCTGTTTAGTTTTTTTAGGGCAGTGCTTGTTATAAAGGTATTGGGTCTTTTTTAGAAAATTATTAAAACATTCGTCAATATCTGTATAGATTTCTAGCTCAGTGTGCCAGTCAATGTTTGTTACTGCTGTTGTGAAGTTATTAATGGCTGCCTCATTGTGAAGTCTGAAGGTGACTTTAGTAGTGTCTTGGGGTATTTTACCAAGAGTTGTTATGAGGAAAGTAGGGTAGTGGTCTATGGTATTATCTGTAATTATGCCTGATTTTAAAGGGGATATGGTGTTGGTCCAGATGTGGTCAAGTAGGGAAACACTAGTCTCTGTAACTCTTGTAGGTTTTGTTACTGTTGGTAGCAACATGCAGTTACTCATTGTGTTTGTGAATTCAGTAACGTGTGGGTCCTGGTCTTGCAGGAGATTTATATTGAAGTCACCTGAGAGTAGTATGTGATCTTTGTTCATGTATGCATCAGTTATCATACTTCCTAGGTTTTGACTAAATTGGCTAATGTTTGATTGTGGAATTCTGTAGATGTTTATCACTGTGAGAGGTTTTTGTAGGCATTTGGATTTGAATTTAGCTATATTCCCCATGTTCATCCCTTGTGCAAGTATTAGTGATACATTCTAGTTGGTCTGAGTAGTATATAGCTGTGCCACCCCCTTGTTGGTCTGGCCTACAGTTGTGTATGGCTGTGTAACCAGGAATGGCATAGACATCTGTAGTATCAGGCTTTAGCCAGGTTTCAGTTAGTGTAATAATGGACATATTGGCATGCAAGGAATTTAGTAATGCTAGGAGGTCATCATAATGCTTGCTTAAAGATCTGATATTGTAGTTAAAGATAGTTATGTTGTTGTTGGCTCTGAGAAGTGCCTTTGATTGTTCTGCTGTGTAGTAATTACAGTAACTGTTTGAATCATTTAAGTCAATAAATAAGAGGTTGGTATCAGGATCAATGCTTGTAATCATAAGATTTGTAGTGAATCTATAGTTAGAATTAAGTAAAAAATAAAGTAAATATTCTAAAGCTAAAAAAAATAGCACCTGAATTATTTAACAAATGTAAAAAATAATGAGCTAAGGTAGTTTTTTAAAGCTAAAATAAAGGAGACAATATAAAAGGGACTAAAATAATTTGTGGTGAACAAATAAAGTGATGATCAAATAATGGAGCTTGGGAATATGATAGTAGGTAGTACTTTAAAGGTAATTCTTTAAAGTTAGAATTATAATATAAAATTATAATATAAAAGGGACTAATATAAGTTGTGGTGAACAATAAAGTGTTTCATTTCATAAACTAGTGAGGAGAAATAAATTCCTTATGACATACTGAGACATGAAGAGCAAAATTTAAACTCGCTGATTACCTTATAAGTTCCTTGTAGGCAAATTTTTGTAAAAGATTATCAACAACCTTAGATTGTAATGTTTTTCTTAATTTTGTGGACAACGTCTGGGTGAGTTGAGTTGATTGGACAGGCGGCAGTGCCCCACTGAGAGATTCTAGCAAGGCACATTCTAAACTGAGGTCGGCGCTCCCATTTGGTGTTGCTGCTGCTACTGCAGCTGCTGCCACTGCTGCCGCTGCTGCTGCCACCGCAGCTGCAGCTGATGCTGATGCTGATGCTGCTGCTGCCGCTACTGCTGATGCTACTGTAAAATTAAAGACAATAAATGTTTGGTTGGTTAAGTTGAAAGGTCAACAACATCTGGCATTATATAAGATAGAACGTTTAAAAAACACAAATTCCTTGTAATTTTGAGGTTATCTTTCATAGGTTTTGGCAATATACATATTGTATACATGTAAGTACAGTATATTGTATCAGATATTCCTGCCAAATTAAGTACAGTGAACCTTTAATGTACTGCAAAAGAATGTGTGAAGATTTAGACACATGTGCAACATCTGGGTATCTTTATTGTAGATGTTTCGCCATCCAGGAGATACCCAGATGTTGCACGTGTCTAAATCTTCATCTTGTCGGTATTGTATACCATTCTTGTACAGAAGAATGTGCGTTTAGCTTGTGCAAATGTCAGAAGGCCTAGTGTTTGCAGTCATAAATATCATGTGTAAAGATGGAATACATTACACAGCACATAAATTACTGGGAACACCTTAAAGGCTTAAACTAGTACAGTGGACCCTCAGGTAACGTCATCAGATAACGAAAAAATCGGATAGTGACACATTTTTGCGTCAAAATATTGGCTCGGTTGCCAAAAAGGACTCAGTTAAGGACATTCGTCCCGAACATGTCAGCGCGGCGTGAGTGACCTGGACACTCCATGTACAGCTAGTGCGCCACTGTTTACAAGCCAGTGAGGACGATTCCAATCGTACATGCGATATATTTTGTATTATTCCATTGTTTTAGTGCTTGTAACTGCTAAATAAGCCACCATGGGCCCAAAGAAAGCTATTAGTGCCAGCCCTGTGGTAAAGAGGGTGAGAAACACTATAGAATTAAAAAAAAAGTTTGTAGAAAGATACGAAAGTGGTGGAGAGTGGTAGTGGTGGTGGTAGAGGGTGGTAGTATGAGCCAACAGGTCTGTTGCAGTGTTCCTGCTTCCTTATGTACACCAGCAAGAGTACTTCCCATCCCATGCACCAGCCAGGGAACTTCCCCACATACCAGCCAGGGTACTTCCCCATATACCAGCCAGGGTACTTCCCACACACCAGTCAGGGAACTTCCCCACATACCAGCCAGGGTACTTCCCCACATACCAGCCAGGGTACTTCCCCACACACACGATTTGATTTGATTGGGACTTGCGCATGAGTGAATAGAATTATCGAAGCTTATTGCTTGGGAAGCACTGAAAATTGGGTTGGGCAAATACGATTCTGTTAGTGGGATGGTTTGTGAAGGACCTGCCTAGTATGGGCCAACAGGCCTGCTGCAGTGTTCCTGGTTTCTTATGTGCAAACACTTATGGATGAACATCACCCTGACATAGCTGTTGCAGGCTGTGCTGGCAACATCTACAATGACAATGTTGTGTCCCATTTTAGGGAAATCTTAAAGAGATGCCAGAAACAGAGCTCTCTGGACAGATTTTTGGTGCAACAATTCAATTCAATTCAATTCAAGTTTATTCTCTATAAGGGTTACAATGTGGGGTTTACATGTTTTGGGTATTGTGTGGTTTACATGTTATAAAATACTAATTACAGAGGGGGCCACTAGGACACCTAGCCTGGCTAGGCATCTCAAGCAGACTTAGATTAATTCTTAACATTAAATCCTTACAGATTATGGTATTAAGGCTAAGTGACTACATCATAATTTGTGAGTTTAGCAATGCGAATGCTTTTGTTTTGGCACAATACAAAGTATCTATATTGGAGTATCTCAAGCTGGTCCTAGTGGCATTAAAAAACAAAGAAGGGAGGTAACCCCAGAAAAGGACTTGTTACTTGAAGTCTTTATGGAAGGGGATTCCCTTTCCAAACAATTGTAAATTCCTCCATCCTCTGCCCTCCTCCCATCTCATCATTCATCAATACATCTTCAATAAAGGTAAGTGACATTTCAGTATTGTTTATTCTGCATGTCTCATTGTTTTCTGGGTAGGGAAACATATATTTCATGTAAAAAAAAAATATTTTGTTTAATACTTTAGGGTGTCTGGAACGGATTAATTGGATTTCCATTATTTCTTATGGGGAAAATTAATTCGGATAACGAAAAAATCGGTTAAAGACAAGGAGAGAGAGATACATGATAATATATACCTGGAAAATACTCGAGGGCCTGGTCCCAAATCTGCACACTGCCATAACATTGAGAGATATGGGAGGAAGTGTAAAATAAACCAAGTGAGGAGCAGGAGTGTGGTGGGGACAATAAGAAAACACTGTATCAACATCCTGGGTCCCAGACTACTCAACATCTTACCAGAAGATATCAGAAACACAGCTGGAACAAGTGTAGAAGCTTTCAAAAGGAAACTGGACAAGTATCTTCACCAGGTGCCAAATCAACCAGGCTATGATGGATATGTGGGGCAGCGGGCCTCCAGCAGTAACAGCCTGGTTGACCAGGCAAGCACCAGACGAGCTTGGCCCATGGCCGGGCTCAGAGAGTAGAGATGCTCTCGAAACTCTTCAAAGGTAAGGTATCCTGCCTTATGTCTGATTTGATTCAGGCAAATACAAGAAGGTAGCAGAAGCAGTGTAGATGTAAAGACAACATAATCAGTCCATCACCCTCGATGACATAGTTTTGAAGTGATCAGTCCCTCAGCCTGGAGAAGATTTCTGCTCCATACATACAATGTACACTGCTTCTGCTGCCTCCTCTGTATTCAACTGAAGAAGCCTACTGTGTAGACAAAACGTTTCAGAATAAAGATACCTAACTGTTGCACATGTGACTTAATTATCAACTTAGAAATGATGGAAAAATAGATATACAAGTGAGGAGCTATACTAATTTCAGTAAGTAGGAACTACCGTATTCTTACTACATGTCTGGTCTAGCCCCATCAGTGGGGTAAAATCGGATACTAATATGAAAAGTTCTAGGATATCTCCAAAACAATCAATCATGCTATTACTAAAGAACAGTTTTCTATAACTTCCATGCACATTCTAGGGGTATAAATTTTCAAAATGTTTACTCCATTCTTGCACCATATCCAATCAAAGATTATCTAACATAGCTATTTTTTGTGATAATTGTCAGAGATTTTAGAATCACATTTCTTTTTTTTGACTTCCAATATCACCAGCAATTCTCTTAGGTGTCATGGTTATTGGGACATAACAAGGGAGGAGAGTTAGCCTAAGAAACATTAATAAATAGATTTACTGACTTAAGAGAACCTGGGATATTATTATTATAATTTTATTACATTATTATTTTCTTTTTTTTTCAGGAAAACAAGTTAGCCAAACCTGAGTACTGGAGGTGGGAAGTACAGTACCTGCACCGTACTTGGGTGTGGATGTTGCAATGTGGAGGGTCATCTGAACTTTGATGTCAGGATACTTCTGGGATGACAGCAATTGAATGAATGATGGTGAATGTGTTTTCTCTTTTTGGGGGAGCACCTTACCTCAGTACAAGATGCTCAATGTTAAAATCATTATTATACTGTAATGACATTTTCATTTATATTTTATTCACCAGTATCAAGGCAGGATATAATAATAATAAGTGCTAAACTCGTGTATATCAATCAGTGTGAATGTTAAGGCTGAGGCTAATTGGAGGAAAGGATGATAAAAGTGGTGTGGGTGATCACAGGAGGACTAAGAGGAGACTACACTCATGTAATCTCATATACTCTACATATTATCTTGGTAAATAAATTAGTTTATTGTTTATCATTTATTGATCTACCCCAGCCCTGACCATAATCAATAAATTTTCTGAAGTCTCTTCCTGGGGGTTGTGTCATCATACTATGCCTGCTGGTAATCAGTACAGTGCCATACCTCATTATTATTACATTTGTGGGGAACTGATAAACCCATCGGAGTTTCACAGTTTCTTGGGAGAATGGGAGGCATTCAGGTTCGATCCACGGAAAGGAGGGGAGGCCCAATTGTTATTAAACCTATATAACCTGTAGGGGTCATACAGCACCTGGAAGAATGAGAAGCATTCAGATTCAATCTAAAGATGGAGAGCATGTTTCATTCCATGGATCAAAAGCCCCACACCAACAGTAAGGAACCTCCCTTGAGAGGTGACATTCAACAGCTCCTTTTAAACTGAACTGCACCTTTTTACAGCTCTGTTGGGGTTTAGACTATTCAGAATGTTCACCAAAAAGGCCGGAATAACCCAAGAAATTTAAGAAGTTTGGTTTATTCCCATCTTGGTGCTTTACACCTCATTCCTAAAGTTGATGCTGAAATAAAAAATTACTCGCTTTATGAAACTTTAACCCTGAAAGGTGCCCTTAACTTAAAAAAAAAAAGTATCCTCACTCTTAAAAAAAGGTTAAGAGTACAAAGATTGCCATAATAATCATGGGGCAGTGCTAAACTCATAGGGTTATACAATGCTTGGGGAATGGGAGACAGGTTAGATCTGAGGAAGAGGAGAGTAGCTCCATTTCCTTAGATTAAAAGCCCTTCACTGCCGTCACAGCACGAAGGTTGAAAGGAAGAGTACCTGGAGGAAGCTGCGTGTTGGAGGCGAGTGTGGTGGGGATTGTTGGAGTGGTGGTGAAGGGAATAGTACCTGGAGGGAGCTGTGTGTTGGAGGGGAGTGTGGTGGGGATTGTTGGAGTGGTGGTGACGGGAGGGATGAAGGAGCCTGGGCTGCCACTGCTGCTGCTCCCTCCACCAGACACAGAGCTTAGGATAGTCTCCCTCTCTGCCTTCCTCTTCTTGATCTTCTCCCTGAAGATCTCCCTCTTGCTCTTCACCAGCTGGATGTTGGCCCAAGTCTCGTCACCCATACTAGACCTCCTCAACCTGTGGCTTCACAAAGACTACGACGGCCTAGGCAGCATGAACTCTACTCCCAGGAGTCCGGTGGAGATTTTGCCCAAATCTAGGCCGGTAATGGAGAAGAAAGAAGCTTCCTCCGTACAATAAACGGGAAAAATGCTCCTCCTCCTCCCAAGGGACGACACTCACAACACAAACATCAACAACATGATCGTCCACTCTACACTTGTTGTCGTTTCTCACTCAAAATCAACATTTTTTTCTACCTGTGAGCCAATTGGAAACTATAAGAAACTTATATGTCAATGGATATGACACCCTCGTCTGTTTTAAATTCGTTCGACTTATGTTCTTTTTGTTAATGTTGTAATAATTAATATATTTCTGTATGAAGCACACGTAGCTGAATAAAAACTTATGAGGACCCCAATGGAAATAAGTAATTTTATCTGACTTTTTTAGGTTATCTTAAGTAATTTACACTATGCATGATAACTGTACTTATGTGTGCCTGAACCTAAATAAACTTACCTATTTACTCACAATGGCCCTAATGGAAGTCTGCCAGATTGAATTTTTTGAGTTATCCTAGGTAATTTATACATATTACTAACTGTAATATACCTGGATGGGGTTTCAGTCCATGACCAGGCCTCGCTGTGGATCAGGACCCGATCAACCAGGCTGTTGCTGCTGGCCGCACGTAAACCGAAGTAATGGAAATAAGCCACTTTGACTTTTTTGAGTTATCCTAAGTTCTCTACACATATGATGCTATATATGATAATCTATATAACTGTATTTGTGTATACCTGAATAAACTGATTTATGAACTACAGCCCGGCTGGTCAGATACTGACTTTAGGTGCCTGTTCAGTGCCTTCTTGAAGACAGCCAGGGGTCTATTGGTAATCTCTCTTATGTATGCTGGGAGACAGTTGAACAATCTTGGGCCCCTGACACTTATTGTGTTGTCACTTAACGTACTCGTGGAGGCCCTGTTTTTTACTGGGGGAATGTTGTATCTCCTGCCGAGTCTTTTGCTTACATAGGGAATGATTTTCGCGTGCAAATTTGGGACTAGTTCCTCTAGGATTTTCCAAGTGTATATTATCATGAATCTTTCTTGCCTGCGATCCAGGGAGTACAGATCAAGGAACTTCAACCGTTCCCATTAATTTATGTGCTTTATCGTACTTACACGTGCCGTGAAAGTTCTCTGTATATTCTCAAAGTCCGTAATTTCGCCTGCCTCGAAAGAGGCCGTTAGTATACAGCAATATTCCAGCTAGAGAGAACAAGTGATTGGAAGAGAATCATCATGGGCTTGTCATCTCTAGTTCTGAAGGTTCTCGTTATCCATCCAGCCATTTTCCTATCAGATGTGGTAGTTACATTGTGATTTTTGAAAGTGAGATTCTCTGACATTATCACTCCTTCACATTAGTTTTTCACTCTACTGTGTGGTTGGAATTTGTTTTATACTCCGATACAGTTTTAATTTTCTCGAGTTTTCCATAGCGGAGTAATTGAATTTGTCTTCATTGAACTTCGTATCGTTTTCTCACACCCATTTAAAGATTTGGTTGATGTCTGCTTGGAGATTTGTGGTGTCTTTGATGGATAACACTCTCATGTATATTCGTGTGTCCTCCTCATATCTATGTCAGATATGAGGATGAGGAACAGGATGGGAGTATGATACCATGTGGAACAGAGCTTTTCACTGTAGCTGCCTCAGGCTTTACTTTGCTTACTATTACTCTTTGTGTTCTATTTGTTACAAAGTTGAGATCCATCTACCAACTTTTCCTGTTATTCCTTTATCATGCATTTTGTATGCTAATTACACCATGATAGCACTTGCCGAAGGTTTTCACGAAGTCTGTGTATACTATATCTGCATTTTGCTTGTCCTCCAGAGCATCCAAGACCATGCCATAGTGGTCCGATAGTTGGAATAGGCAGGAGAGACCTGCTCGAAACTTATGTTGCCCTGGGTTGTGTAACTGATGGGTATCTAAGTGAGTGGCAATCTTGCTTCTTAGAACCCTTTCAAAGATTTTTATGTTGTGGACGTTACTGCTATCGGTCTATAATTTTTTGCAGTTTCTTTGATGCCACCTTCGTGGAGTGGGGCTGTCTGTTGTTTTCAGTGACTGGGATGATTCCTGTGTCCATGCTCCCTCTCCATAGAATACTTAAGGCACGTGACAGGGGCTTCTTGCAGGTCTTGATGAACACAGAGTTTCATGAGTCTGGGCCTGGGGCAGAGTGCATGGGCATGTCATTTATTGCTTTTTCGAGTCTCGGTCATAAAAAAAAATTCATGGGGGATTGTCGACTCTTAGTCTGATTAACGGCTCACTAAACGTTGAGTTATACTGGGACTTCAGTATCTCGCTCATTTCTTTGCTTTCATCAGTGTAGGTCCCATCTCGTTTAAGCAGGGAGGGGTCAAATACTGGATGTTGTTTTTGTCCTAGATATGCATAAGAAAAGAAGTATTTTTTTTTCAATTTCATTTATGGCTTTAAGTCCTTCCTGTGTCTTTTCTCGTGATTAAAACACATGTACAACACTTAAGTAGCTTTATTGATAAAAAAAAACACATGTACAACACTTAAGTAGCTTTATTGATAAAAAAAACACATGTACAACACTTGAGTAGCTTTATTGATAAAAAAAAACACATGTACAACACTTGAGTATCTACTGGCGATGAGTTTCGCCTACATAACTGAACTTTTCAGTCAAATACAGGCGAATTACAACACTGGAGAGCAGAGGTAGTTGTGACGTGATCAGTCCGCCAGGCTTGGTGGGTGGTGGTCAGTCCCTGCAATCTAAGTCATGAGCACTCGGCCAAACTTTACAGGGAAGCGCTAAACCCATAGGAGTCAAACGACACCTGGGGGAAATGGGAAGCATTCATGTTTACTCCATGGAAGGGGAACGGAGGTAGCTCCTGATCCCTAAACCAAGAGCCTCTCCCCAATATCAAGGTGCCACCCCCCTCCCTCCCTCCTCAGAAAGCATACTGGAGTTCACCTGGAGTTTACCTGGAGAGAGTTCGGGGTCAACGCCCCAGCGGCCCGGTCTGTGACCAGGCCTCTTGGTGGATCAGAGCCTGATCAACCAGGCTGTTACTGCTGGCTACACGCAAACCAAACGTACGAGCCACAGCCCGGCTGGTCAGGAACCGACTTTAAGTGCTTGTCCAGTGCCAGCTTGAAGACTGCTAGGGGTCTATTGGTAATCCCCCTTATGTATGCTGGGAGGCAGTTGAACAGTCTCGGGCCCCTGACACTTTTATATGGTCTCTTAACGTGCTAGTGACACCCTTGTTTTTCATTGGGAGGATGTTGCATCGTCTGCCAAGTCTTTTGCTTTCGTAGTGATTTTCGTGTGCAAGTTCGGTACTAGTCCCTCTAGGATTTTCCAGGTGTATATAATCATGTATCTCTCCCGCCTGCGTTCCAGGGAATACAGGTTCAGGAACCTCAAGCGCTCCCAGTAATTGAGGTGTTTTATCTCCGTTATGCGTGCCGTGAAGGTTCTCTGTACATTTTCTAGGTCAGCAATTTCACCTGCCTTGAAAGGTGCTTTAGTGTGCAGCAATATTCCAGCCTAGAAAGAACAAGTGACCTGAAGAGTGTCATCATGGGCTTGGCATCCCTAGTTTTGAAGGTTCTCATTATCCATCCTGTCATTTTTCTAGCAGCTGCGATTGATACAATGTTATGGTCCTTGAAGGTGAGATCCTCCGACATGATCACTCCCAGGTCTTTGACGTTGGTGTTACGCTCTATTTTGTGGCCTGAATTTGTTTTGTACTCTGATGAAGATTTAATTTCCTCGTGTTTACCATATCTGAGTAATTGAAATTTCTCATCGTTGAACTTCATATTGTTTTCTGCAGCCCACTGAAAGATTTGGTTGATGTCCGCCTGGAGCCTTGCAGTGTCTGCAATGGAAGACACTGTCATGCAGATTCGGGTGTCATCTGCAAAGGAAGACACGGTGCTGTGGCTGACATCCTTGTCTATGTCGGATATGAGGATGAGGAAACAAGATGGGAGCGAGTACTGTGCCTTGTGGAACAGAGCTTTTCACCGTAGCTGCCTCGGACTTTACTCTGTTGACGACTACTCTCTGTGTTCTGTTAGTGAGGAAATTATAGATCCATCGACCGACTTTTCCTGTTATCCCTCTAGCACGCATTTTGTGCGCTATTACGCCATGGTCACACTTGTCGAAGGCTTTTGCAAAGTCTGTATATATTACATCTGCATTCTTTTTATCTTCTAGTGCATTAAGGACCTTGTCGTAGTGATCCAATAGTTGAGACAGACAGGAGCGACCTGTTCTAAACCCATGTTGCCCTGGGTTGTGTAACTGATGGGTTTCTAGATGGGTGGTGATCTTGCTTCTTAGGACCCTTTCAAAGATTTTTATGATATGGGATGTTAGTGCTATCGGTCTGTAGTTCTTTGCTGTTGCTTTACTGCCCCCTTTGTGGAGTGGGGCTGTGTCTTGTTTTTAGTAACTGTGGGACGACCCCCGTGTCCATACTCCCTCTCCATAGGATGGAAAAGGCTCGTGATAGGGGCTTCTTGCAGTTCTTGATGAACACGGAGTTCCATGAGTCTGGCCCTGGGGCAGAGTGCATGGGCATGTCATTTATCGCCTGTTCGAAGTCATTTGGCATCAGGATAACATCGGATAGGCTTGTGTTAACCAAATTTTGTGGCTCTCTCATAAAAAATTTGTTTTGATCTTCGACTCTCAGTCTGGTTAGCGGCTTGCTAAAAACTGAGTCATATTGGGACTTGAGTAGCTCACTCATTTCCTTGCTGTCATCTGTGTAGGACCCATCTTGTTTAAGTAGGGGCCCAATACTGGATGTTGTTCTCGACTTTGATTTGGCATAGGAGAAGAAATACTTTGGGTTTCTTTCGATTTCATTTGTGGCTTTTAGTTCTTCCCGCGATTCCTGACTCCTATAAGATTCCTTTAGCTTGAGTTCGATGCTTGCTATTTCTCTGACCAGTGTCTCCCTATGCATTTCAGATATATTGACCTCTTTTAGCCGCTCTGTTATTCTTTTCCGTCGCCTGTAAAGGGAGCGCCTGTCTCTTTCTATTTTACATCTACTCATTTTTCTTAGAGGAATAAGCCTTGTGCATACATCGAGTGCCACCAAGTTAATCTGTTCTAGGCATACGTTGGGGTCTGTGTTGCTTAGTATATCTTCCCAGCTTATATCGGTTAGGACTTGGTTTACTTGGTCCCACTTTATGTTTTTGTTATTGAAGTTGAAT